GCAATTATAAAACCTTCAAGAAGCTCTCTGGTGATTCCCAAATAAAACTTAGATATCTTAGCATGGCTCTCAAGGGCATCCACAATTTTGGTTTAATCTTTCTTACCACATATAACGTATTCCATCACAGTGAGCTTCTTGGTACTACTCCCTAAATGCTCTATTGTTTCTCCTTAATTCCCCTTCAAGTTCTACAACATTTAATTCTTGAAATCAAACAACTCTCCAAGCCCCTACTTTAAGACTGCCTGCATTAAAGTCATCTCTTATTAACTGGTGGTAATCAGTCATTCCAAAAGATAGTAAATTTCCAAATAGTAAATTTATAAATTTTATTTAGTCCTTTATTTCTTTTTAATGACATTCACCAAACTCTATTTTCATTTTATATTTTTGTATGTGCTTTATTTTCTTTAATGAAACTATAAATTCCTAAATTAAGCATTTATATACTATTTGTGTTGACATGCTTAAAGCAGATATGATAGAACTTTGCACCGAGTGAGTTCTCAGCACATCTTTGCTAAATAAAATAAAATGCTTATCTTTTCAAATGGCTTATCAACACAGGAGTGTACTTGCTCATGTTTTCATGATCAGTAAATGTATTTAATATTTTTAACCTGCATCTTTTAAAAACTTAGTTCAGGTCATATTTTCCACATTTAAGTACAACAAGCTCCGCAGTCAAGCAGGAGAACATGTGTTCCTCTGAATGCTTATAGACTACTCTTCCTTCCCACTATCTTCACTATGCCCAGGAAAGAGATTGACTAGACTTTCAGATTTTCTAATGCATCAAAATAAGATTAAAATTCGGTATACATTTCCAACTTTCATAGAGGCAGCTAAAAAAAGAAAAAGAAAGGATACATATGGTATAAGGATTGACACAAAAGACTTGGCAAAGAGACTATATATCTAAGAAACATGATTCTTTATGTAATTGTTTTGGTTTATATTTTTCCCCTTCCATTTGTAGGTCATACTCAAATTGTTTGGGAAAGAGAAACAACCAAAACTTTGTGATTTGAAATTCTTTACCAAGAGCCTTTGAGATAATAATCTTGGTGACTCAAGATCGAAATCTAAGCAAAGGTTCTCCCAAAGCACATAGATTTCCAACCCAAATCAAGAAACAGAGACATGAAAATGAACAGAAAACATAAAATGATACCAGCCTCCTAGAAGGTAGAATTTGTTCAGTGTATGGGAGTAATAGAAGACATTAAATTTTAGATCATTCTAAACCAGTTCTCTGATACTTTTTGGTTTTTTTTCTCATCACAGGATCTCCATATTCTTAATATGAGGCAGTGGATTGGGGGACAGCTTGTGTCTTTGGGGTGGAGGAAGAAGTATTTTCTCTCTGCAAATTACCAGTTCACTCTTGGGGTGATTACACATCTTATTAACAATTAGTTGTAGAAATCAGAGGCTTACAAAAGGACTTCATCACTACAAGCATTATCCTGGCTGGATACAAGTCTCTTCTATAAAGTACATGCTGGCCTGAAAACATACATGAAATATAAAGGAAATGCTACTCACTCTGAAAGCAATGTCCAGAAAGATGATAAAGTAAAAGGATTATTCAGATAACATATTTGGGAAAGAATCTTAATTCTTAATGAAACAGTGAGATGACATACTAAAGGAAGGGACAGACTCTTCAACAATGGTGCTACATTTAAACACTAGTGGAAACGTTTGGGAGACATTAGAAACCAGGGTGTGTAAGCGGCTCCGTCCGTCTGCATGATCGGGTAAGATTTCTCTTTGCTGGATTCTCTGATCTACCTCAATGCTCTGAATGTGCTTTTTGAAGTGTTCCTAGAGCTATTAAAAGAAAATTCCTCTCAAATATCTAAAAGTCACTTTTTGAAAAAAAGAAAAAGATAATTTCTAACATTCCTTTCCCTTGATGATCTGCCTTTAAAACCTTCAACTAGGAAGAGAAAGCATATCCTTACATTAAAATTCCAGGAGGACCATCACTTTGTTTTCAAATGACATTCTGAGCACAAAGGTAAACCAGGCAGAGTGGCTGCCTTTGTATTTGATTTTCCGTGGGGGAATTCCTTCAGGTCCTTGAAGAGAGGCCCCATTGTACATGCTAAACCCTGATGTGGAGAAACCTTTGATAAATCCATGGGCTTCCTAAATACAGGAAGTTAGAGGCTCAACTGAGTCGCCACACCTGTCAGATTTAGGTCCTGATTAGAAGGATACAGTTTAGAATATGTATATTATATGTTAATATGAATTGCCTCTTCAAAATCCACATTCCCTTTCTATCTATACTTTCTCTCCCTTTTTTTTAAACATTCAAAGCAACTGAAGCATAAAACGACATACGAGCAAGATGAATTACATGAAAAAGATGACTCATTATTCAGAGTACCTTAGGAATTCTCCCTTTTATTGAATTATTTTCCAACTTTCTTGGCTTTTCACTGATAAAGTCACTTGTAAAATGCTATAATTAAAGAAGCTGCTGTGTTTACCTCTTCCTAGACAGACCTTCCCCACGAATCTGGGTAGAGGTACTGTGGTCTCACTGGCAGTTACAGCAGAATAAATACAATCACCACTCCCCCAATTCAATATTTTCAAATACCTGGAAATATGCTGCGTTGAATGACTGAGTTTGTTAGTTCCCATTGTAATGATGTGTGCTGATGTCTCTCAGATATTAGGCAAGAGAAGGATAGCCTTTTTTTTTTTTTTTTTTTTGAGAACAGTTACTTTAAAAGGATGAGGAAAGGAGGTAGTGAGCAGTGATGGCTCTAACACCATGCCATTTGTGTTACACTGAAAGGTCTCAAGAATCATGTTCTACCAATCTGGCACTTCATAAACTAGAGGGTTACCCAAGTTCTCTGACATCAGAAACACAGTCTTGTTTGTAATGCAATCTCAAGCAATATATTCAGCAGTGTTCAAAGAGTAGGCAGCTTATTATTACATTTAAGTTAATAACAGCTCATGAGAAATAATTAGGATGGATATACCTATAAATCCTCAAATAACCATATTCCAGTGAAAATGTGTAAGCATACTATAGGAAACAGATACCATCATAATTAACTTACAGACTCTGCATGTTCCATTACTGCTAACACAAAGAAGACATATTCTTGACCACTTTGGAGTTGCTTGTTTGTAAATCCACCATAATGCTTGTCATCTCCCAGGGTGAACTCAGTGGGAAGGACATCAAAGTGAGCGGCAATATATGGCTTTAATTCAACTTCTCTCCCATAACGGATGCTTCTGCGTTTCCTAGATATCTCCTTAAGCAGCTTAAGGAAAAAGGGGGGAAACAGAAAAAGAACTGTAAACAACCATGAACGAACTTATTGATGGTTTAATGAGAAAAATTAATTCAGAACTAGAAACAACCCAAATACAATTTGTCCACATTTCATGTAGCATGTCAGTATCACTAAATCTCAGCTCTCTCAATCTTCCAAACACTTGTCTTCCTGTTAAGGTAAGATACTGGACTGCTATTGTAAGGCCCAGGCTATAAACACAGGGCAATTAAATCCTTTACTAGTAGTTCATTTCATTTCCTACACTAATGAAATCCTCTCCAAGGGCAATAGTACATGATAACTTGTCGAAGGAAAAAGAAGTCAGCTTAATTCATAAAAGCCTTGCCTTGCATGAGAGTAAACAAGTAGTAACCTCAGATAAAGCCATCTAAATCTTTAAATATGACCAAATTTTATGAGAGGTTAGTGCCATTTTAGTTTGTTTTCAATGAGATAATTCATATGATGCAAATTTCATCAAATCAGTAGAAGCAGAATCCAGTGAATAATTTTCAATTACGTATATTAAATAGACATTGTTAATCATTTAATGATTTATGGCTTGACTTGGCTCCTTGGATAACCAACTGGGGTGCAATTATTCGCATTTTATCGGGGAGCTAACTTTTTCTAGAATCTAGCTCTCTGGGGAGTTTGACTACCTTGCCAGATGATATAGGCAGTGTGGATAAAAATTAATTTTAATGTTATCCTAAGGAAAACAAATGTGTGCATGTACATACAGATCCTTCATGTACTTCAAAAAGACCCAGCAGAATTTATTTATGGATAATCTGTTATTTTGTATTGATTCTTTTATTAGGAGAACATAATATTAATGGCATATTATAAACATTGATTTCAAAATAACGTCAAAGTTACCTTTGCCTTCTCCCATTAAATGTTGGCATTCACAGAGTTTAACACGGAAAGGTCTATATCTGTCTGGGATACCTTTCGATGTAAGCAGCAATTTTTAACAGTTTGCTAGAAATAATTTGATTTTATTTGTTTTAATATCAGTGTAGAAAAGACTACATATTTGAGGACAAACTGGAAAAGGGAATGAAATGAACTCTGCCTTCACCTTGATAAACAAAATTAAGGTACTTATGGAAACAATGCAGCACAACTATTTACTATCCTCATTTTTGTAAATAGAAATGATATAGTAAAAACCAAAGTAGTTATCTCAACTTAGTAGAATACGACCCTGGCACAATCAAGGCCAGGCTTCTGTGATCATAATGGCTGTAGACTATATAAATGATAAACACTGAATCCTTCTGTTAGGAATCTAATATTATACCACAGTCTCTTCTACACTGAGTCATAAATGTGCTCAGCTGGTTCAAAATTATACCCTAAAAATGTAAAAAAATAGTCTTTTAGTTATACAATTTATACCCATGTTATTATTAAATAATATTTAATTTATAATGTTCTAAAATTTTCTGGGAAATTTGAATTTATTGATGCAATTAAAATTACATGAAATGTCAGCTGTTTTATGAAAACCACAGTAGACTGGGCATCACTTGTGGAGCAAATTTGGACCATCTGATGATAAATTCAATTATACTGATCAATTATGCACTAAATGGTCAGTAAAAAAGCAAGGCCAGAAACTTAGTACTATCTTTCAATCCTGTTGTCAAATTTAGGTTTACTTATAATAATGATGATGATAATGATAATAATAATAATACTTACCATTTATTAAGCATTTACTAGGTACCAGAGGCTGTTCTAGGGGGCCTAAACATGCATTAGCTAATTTACTCCTCATGATAACCCTGTAAGATAGGTTGATAATTATCCCCATTTTATAAATGAGGAAACTGAGGCACAATAGAAAGTCATAATGTATTAGACTCAATTAGTGAAACAAAATGAAATGATATGTAAGATTTTTTCATCTATATTTTACTTAATGATTGTTCAATATCAAAGAAACATAAATGTGATATTTAAGCTCTGATAACCTAAATTGTTTTACTCAGTCTGTATTTAGACATAGTTTTTGTACATTCGTTGTTATTAACACAGATGAATGTGTTATTTACTTTTCCTAGATTTTTTTTTAACATGCTAACTTAAAAAAATTCTGATGCCAGATATTTAAGGCAATATTATACTTGAAAAGTCATTCCACACGTTATTGTTGATGTGCAATAAATGATAGCTGCCCATTACTTTGAGAAGGAGAAACACGCTGCGGATGAGGTGAACAGCTTTTTGAGGTTGGTTAATCAAAAACATTTACCATCAGTTGTTCATATGACTGTGTCCCCTCTTCTACTTCACTGATCAAACCCCATCTTGATTTTATTCATATTTCAAGTATAGGCAACAGTCAAAATTCATCCATATCACTGTCATTCCGAGGAGTACCTTTTGCTAGGGTTTCTTTAGAAGACTTAGAGGAAGTACTTCAGAATAAAATATTTGAGTTTTGGGGGGCTCCTTAGATCCAATATAGTCATTCATTAAGGTCAAACCTGGAACATCACTCTGTCCCTTTAGATTGTTCTAATCTCTGTAGGATGCTTCCTGTGTTATATTTTAAATGGTTCAAGTTCAGATGACACCAAAGTTAGCCAGTACGTTGAAGTTATAACCACAAATGAGTATGTTATTTTACGGCAAGTCTTTGAAGTATAATGCAATGAAAAGCTTATGATATATTACACAACCTGCTCTGAATTAAATATAACTAACATTTTGGGAGTCATTCTGCCCAAAATTCATTTTGACTATTAATATCTGCTCTGCCCAGTCTGACCTTGACAACAGGAGTTCCGGTTTATGAATTTATCATGCGGAGAGCATCCCTGGACAAAGGATAAATGAGTTCAGAAGATAATTTTGAGAGTAACTCTGTTTAGAAAGCTTCTTTCAATTTTTTATGGGCCTAGATATGAGGCATACATGTGGAAATCCCCTTAGGCTACCATTCTATTCAATGACATGGTTCCAACAACATGAATTATAGGCCTTTCTGAAAAATTACTTGGTCAAATACATTTAAGAGAGGAACACTGCTTTGTCAAAGCTGGCAGTACCAAGCTATAGATAAAATTACTACAATACTTCTATTACCCATAGTAGAAAAAAATCTGTCTATAGGGATCAGAAACTGGATGAGTAAGCATAAAGTGCTGCCGTAGCCTACTTTCATTTGTTCCCCTCCACAATAGTTACAAGATGTATTGGAGGTAATTCCAGAAGATATATCAAGGGCTTTAGTTCTTTATCAGAAATAATTTTCATTTTCCAGTCAATGCATATCTTATTTCTTCCACCATTAATTCTACAATGTGGTCTCAATTATATCAGTAAGAAAAGTGGGAAACAGCCCATCCTGACCCCCAAATTCTGAATTAATAAAATGTTCTTTATCAAACTATTATACAGATTAATGCACCACAACTTGGATGATTAAAATGACCCTTTGTTATGGGAATCAGCAGCACAGACCCATAGAATTTAATTGCAACAAAGTTCAAAGTCACATAGCCCTATACTTTAATCCATTAGTTTTGCTGTGCATTTGGAGGTTAAAACCTGGCTGTAAAAGAGAATCACTTCCTATTACTTACTATCGAATGGCTTTACTTCTAAGGAAAGCGTATTATTTAAAAGTAGTTGATGTCATGTTGGCTTACATCTCAATGACTTGAAAACATTTTTTTTAATAGGTAGAATGATACACAGATTCTATAAGCTGCTTTTGCATTTTATATTCGATTCCAACTAAAATGGGATAGTGACAATTCTGCAATTCAGCTGAGAACTGATGAAAACAGTAAGGATATCTCAGGATTAACTGATTAATCAGTTGCAAGTAAAATCATGTCTTCCTTCAAAATGCTTACAAAAGATGAGCTGATCATTTTGCATCTTCAGATGAAGGATTACTATTTCTCCACTATCATAGAATAATGAGTTTGTTCCTTTATCAACAGAAAAAAATAAATTGATAATATACCTAAATTACTTGACAACATTATTGAAATGATGTCTCATTACACACCCCTCTAATGGTCATCTCATCACTAAATAGGGACACAAAAGCATAGGGCTAACCTTGAACTCATCTCCTCTTCTGAACTTGATCGAATTTAATTCACATAAATGAAGTAAGTGAAAATTAATCCCACTTCTAGAGATGACTTATGTCTGCCAAAGGAAGCTAACATCCTTTTTTTTATTTTTTTTTGGTCAGAGCACAATCTCCTTTGTGCGGACATACATGAAATAAATTTCACCTTTCTGACTTTTCTGTAATGCAGTTAGGGAACTTATTCTTTTCACTGATTCATTTGTACTAATTTGAGGTAGAGAAATACCTAGAAATAATAGGTTGTAATATGAAATGTGATCTACATTTGTAAATAAGCCCAATAAATTAAAATCTCATATTTCCCCAAATGAGGGCCTGGTTGTTTGCCTTATGAATGGATTCAAAACAGTATCATGTTAAAATAACAAAGTCTCTTCTGTATTTTAAAATGAGAATTATAGCCATTATCTTGCTTTGGCCCTATGGGGATCTAGTTTAACACTCCTGGATCATAGTTTTCTTATCTAAACAGAAGCATGTAATAATTAGGTCTCATTCTTCATATTATGTATTAACTTTCAGAAAAAAGTTCTTTTTACAAGGAATATCAATTAAAATGCACCTAATATGATAAGATTTTAAAAATTAAAATCATATTATTGGGTATTTGCTGGGTTTTGATATGTATTTCTTGCTTTGCTCAAAATTTTTTGATTTGTTTTGTTTTCCTCTGTAGCTAAATGCACTTTTGATTCTGAAAACCTACAGAATAAGGAAAACATTTGCTAATCAACAGAATTCTTTGATAAACTGGTGAAGATCACATAGTAGGTCAAACGAACTCTACTGCAAATTGCAATGTGGTGTTTGTAACGGCCTTAGCAATCATTGCACTAATGAAGCAGACCTTGGATTTTACATCAATGGTGGTTAAGTCTTTGGACAATTCACTTCACCTTCCACACATCTGCATCATGTTTTGCAAGGGGCAAGGGGCAAAATATTAAGGCAAGCAAAGATCAGACGGGTTGTAAGCTTTATTGCAGCTTAATGTTTTTTTAATTAAAGCAAAAGGAACTTGTTGGGATCTCTGGAAGTTAGCATGTCCATAGCACTGAACCATCTAACCAGCCAGCTGTGAAGAAGCCAGTATCTGGCTTGGATGCTGAAAAGTCTTCACAGGGAGAAGGATATTTAATAAGTTAAATAACTAATGAAAGACAAAACCAACAAAGACATAGTTACCTCATCTAATTCCATTTCATCTGGACTCTCCCATGGCTTGATAAATTTCCCACGAGATTTCTTCAAAGGCACAATTATTATGTAGTAACCTCTGTACAGAAATGAATAGACAAAAATAAGGTTAGTTCCGAGGGGAAAGAAAGTGGATGTACCCTTAAATCTTCCACAGGCCAGTGACTGAGAATGAAGGCAAATTATGGATATGAAGTGACTTGTCCATTTCTTACCTCAATGACAAATAACCACCTGTTTGTTCAATTTTAAAAACAACACGGGCAGACATTTATGTGTGACTTCAATGATCTTGTATGGTAATATCACCATGGTTGACTGCTCTTTATTAGGTATCATAAACAGAGCAGGCATAGTTTGTTACGGTCCTGGTGCTGGACACATACAAGGCTGGGATATTGAAAACTACCACCACAAGCTGCTGAACCGAATATTTTCTATGACACTAATGTATAAGAGGACTTCTTAAAAAGGGGTGTATATAATAAAAATTACTCCTAGCTCACATAAATACCTATTATTACGTTGTTTATATAAATCGAAAATACTTTTTATTTGGATAAAAAGTTAAAAGCATAAAAATTACATAGAATCTCACAACAGTTACATATAGTAAGACATAAAAACTCCCCTTTCTACCCATCAAATTAAAAACCTCAAGTACTGCAGAAATTTGGAGAAGATCACTACCTAAGGGGCCTTCAAAATAGATCTCACTATAATGATATCTATATGAAGAGACAAAAGTAACTGAGTCCTAACACTGAGAATGGTCAAATAAAATTTATGTACAAAGGCACCTGTCTAAAACTGGATATGGGCTATTTGTAAAGTTGCTTGGTAACTTCAGTATAGTGTCTATCCTGCTTTTACATTTCTGTTTAGGGACTTTGCTTATACTAGTCTTTGGCAGTAACTATATAAGGACTTTGAACATATTGTATAATAATCAGTTCATAAACACATTAATGGTTTCTATTTCTTAGGTATCATATTAAATGCATAATCTGGTTTTGTCCTGCTATATAGCAATCCTTTAAGGACAGCCTAGGTGTAGGCTACAAAACTATAAAAACGGATCACAGACAGACAGATCTGGAGAGGTTAAATAATTTGCCCAAGTTAATAGATAATAGATAGCAAAAGGACTCAAACCGACATTTATCTTAACCTTGGCAATGGTCTCTTTTTTCATTTATTCTATGTATCATAAAGTAAGGACTCCATACATTTTTTGGAGACTTATTGTGAGAATGAGAGCACACAGACACACACACAAACATACCCACACACCTTTAAAAGAGAAGGCTACTGCATGGCCATGACAAAGGGATGAGAGGAAGAATGCTACTAACCCTTTAATCACATTGTATCTCAGAGACCAATAGCATGCAAAGGAAGGCCTCTTTCTACTCATCTCAAAACAAAACCTGTGATAAACTCAGCAATTCCTCTGTGATAAAGAGCTCTTGTTTCCACACAGTCTAGAGCTGAGCTGCCCAGTACAGTAGCCACCAGCCTCTTGGAGCCATGGAGCACTTGAGCTGTGGCTAGCCTGAACTGAGATGTGCTGTAAATGTCAAAAACACACTGAATTTCAAAGATTCTGTATGACACACACACAAAAAGAGTGTAAAAATATCTCAGTAATAATTTTAAAATAGTGATCACATGTTGAAATAATATTCTGGACATACCGGGTTAAATATATCTAGAATATTTAAGTTATTAAAATTAATTTCACCTGTTTCTTTCTACTTTTTCGCTGTAGCTATCAGAAAATTTAAAATTTCTCATGAGGCTTTCATTATATGTGTTGGACCATGCTGCTCCAGCATGTTCGGGTACAGAAAGTGGCACCTGGCCCAGAATCTGGGCTCTGCTACCAATGTACTGTGTGATCTTAGACTGATCATTCTACATTCCAGAATCTCAGTTATATATTCTGAAATATGAGAGTAAAAAATATCAGGCTGGTATTTGGGGAAAAAAAATAAATGAAGCCGAAGTGCTCATCATAGTGTGTGCGGCACGTAGCACTACAGGTGATAGCTGCAGCTGGCCAGGACTGACCATCGTGGTGGGAGACATGCGTCTGAAATTCTGTAAGATGCAGGTTAAGAACCTGTCAAAGTTTTTTTTCTTGCTAATCGAGAATTCAAGTCAAACCAGACAATCATACCACAATCCTTTTTCCATGGTGCTCTGAGCAACTAATCAACAGATGCGCAGGATTACATCACCTAGCCATTCATTTTCTTTACTACAAATAATCATGATGATCAAGGAGGGTAAGGAGAAGGAGGAGTCGGTGTGTGTGTGAGAGAGACCAATATCTTTTATTTTACGATCCGGAGTAAGCTTCCTCCTCCTCCTGTCCTCCCACCACCTGAAGGATTTGCCAAACAAGTCCATCATGTTAAATGAGCATGGAAGAGAATGACAGAGGCTGCAACTGAGCGTACAAAATAACACTGCAGATGTGCTTGATAAACACACTTGTCAAGGAACTTCTTGCTTTTCTCTACCAACTGCACAAAGTCAGGAGAGCTCTACGCTAAAGCAATGATACTGCATATTACCGGAGAGCTCCCTTTGTCCTCTTTCAGCATCTTGTAAATCAAGGTTAAGCTGATGAGTTTTATTAATTTTTCTTCTGCCTTCCTATTTGACTTGCCATTCTTGTACGTGAAAAAAGAATCCATTCTTTCTTCTGCAGCACTCCCCCACTATTCACATGCCTGGTGGTGGGGATAAGAATTGAACAGCCTCCCCATAGCAGTTAATTAACAGTGTGGCCAAACATCCATAACCTTTTCTCTCCACTGATCTCAAAAGTATTCATCTAGGGCAGTCAAAGTGAAGCGTGCTTCAAAGCAGCTCTCACACATTGAAAGAAATGAGGCAGTGGCAATTTGGAACTTCATGTTACAGGGAGCTTTGCCTAGGTCCAAATCCCACATTTCAACTGTGTTCTCTGCAACTGCAGCTTTGTGAACATCCCGGTTTACCTGCCTTACCTGCAACCTGGCTTCTCTGAGGATACTGGTCCCTTGCAGCCTTCTCAAGCAGCTGCTGATTTCTCCTTCCTCCTCTGCCCGTGAACCTCAGAGTCAGGGTTTGGGGGTTCTTTCCTGGCTTCCTGTTGCTTCCTGCAGGCATTTTCCCTCCACCCTCTTGTAAACAATGAAACACACCCCTCCTTTTTTTGAATTTCATGCAATCTAGCTATCTTATGCTCTTCTCTGGCTGATTTTTGTTATCTACCACCTCACCTGCATCTCCTTTCTCTTAGAAGATTCTTCTAAGGGGTTCACGGGCTTCCTTTCTTCCCAAACTCTGCCCTCAGCCTGGGTGGTGGTCACCTTCACAGGGCTGGCCCGTGCACCACCCAAGGCTCTCAGATCCTTCAACTCTGCCTCTCCAAAGCCCAGCTCCTCCTTTCTACCTTGGCTGAAATCTATGCTTGCCGTTCTCTGTGCCTGAACCCACGGAGCTCAATACAGCCTGAGGAACAAAGTACAGGATGGAATAATGCCATAAATTCAGAATCAGCAAACCCAATTAGGCTTCCACACCACCTGGCAATGTTACCACTACCTAGTTACCCAGTAACTTCTCTAGTTGCCTAATCTTTCCATTATCCACAATAATTTTTCCAAATTTTTGCCTCTATCCTGTAAACCTTGGACATCCACATCTCCCCACTAGAAGATAGTCTTACCTCTTCCATACAGAGAAAATGTAAACATTCAGACCAGAATTCCCTGTCTGGGAATCGTCTGACTACCAAAGTACATGCCTATGTATACCTGTAAACAAACCACAAACTTTCCTTTTGGTTATTGGCCTTACTACTTAAGGCCAATAACTATTTCTTGAATTATTTTTCATTCTCTCACTTTCTTTGAAAGTTTACCATACACCATACCCCTTTTCTCTCCTATATTTCAACTTCTCTCTCCCTGCTGGATCCTGTCCATTAGCTTTCAACCACGCAATAAATATCTGCCATTTAATAAACAAAACAAACCACTTCCCACCCCAGTCACCTCTCTCTCTCTCTTACCCCTTACTGCCAAATCCCTGCAAAGAGCTGGGTGTTCCTGCTGTTTTCCCCTTCCACTCACTTCCCTGCTCACCACGCTATGTCTCCTGCATCCTCACCCACCTCACTGCCACTGCCAGAATACTCAGTGACCTCCGTGGTGTCACATCGAAAGAAGAGCTTTTGATCCTCTTCTTTCTTTCTTGTCTTCCTGGCAGAATCTTAACATGCTGGTAAGACCCTCCATGAAACATTCTCAACCCTCTCTCTGTGTTGCAACTCTCCTGTTATTTCTACTTGTATCTCTTACCATATTGACATTCTTTCTTTAGCAGAATTTATTCTCTGTTACCTAGCTATCATGGTGAAGTTCCTCAAGGCTCTGGCCAAGAATTTCTATTTACACCTGATTTTCATCCTAGGAGATATCATTCCAGCCCAGGACATCAGTTCTTAGCTATATGCAAATGATTTACAAATTCTTATCTTCAGTCAAGAATGCTCCTCCAAATTCCACAGGTTTATCCTACTTCAACTGTGTCTCCATTTCTATGTCACAACAGTCCTTCCAACTACTGCGGTTAACACAAAACAAATAATATACCTTTTAAAATAAATCCTCCTCCAATATTGCATGACAATCCATTTCAGTGCACATGCCAGAAACCTAGGTGTTGTCACTGACAATCTGCTTTTACTCTCTCCCTCCCTCATAACCAATCTATTGCCAAGTCATGTAACCTCCAAACTCTATCTCCAGTGCATTCACTTCTATCTCTACTGCCACCCCTCTGGTCTCATTCCATTGTCTCATGCCCAGATGCCTACCTTACTCTTCTCTCTTTCTCTCCCTCCATTGACTTCGGCCCCTTCTAGTCCAGTCTCTGGAATTTCCAATCCACAATACAAAATTGGTTGTGCCATTTCCACTTTTTAAAAGATTTCAGTGGATTCTCATTTCTCTTAAAATAAAGATCAAAAGGTATTCCAAGGCCTGGCAGGCTCTTGCCTGACTCCATCTCTCCATGTCCTCTGAGCTTATAGCTTGATAGGCTGTCAGTGTCTTGAATTTACGATGGTCCATTCCTGTCATCAACCCTTTGACCATTCTGTTACACTTGCCTAGAACCTTCTGTCATTCCAACCAAGTGAACTACTCTCTTTCCTCAACTGTCTGTTCACTTATTATTTCCAACTAATGATTCCTGAAACCTTCCCTGACTTCTCTGATTAAATCAATTACCCCTATTATACGGTCTCAATGGACCATTTTTAGTATATAATTTTCTTATACTGTTCGAGACATATTTATATATTTAGAAAAATATTAATAAAGCAGATGTACATAAAACTCCCCTCAAATTTGCTTAACTTTGATATTTTATCACTGAGTTATTTTTTCCACTGAAAAGTAGAAGTGGGTGCGGTAGGTGGCTCTATTATACGGTCTCAATGGACCATTTTTAGTATATAATTTTCTTATACTGTTCGAGACATATTTATATATTTAGAAAAATATTAATAAAGCAGATCAAACTTTTTCTCCTTTCTCCAAACCAGCAGTGACATGCCCAAATAGAGTTTATAGAAAATATAACTCCTTACTGTAGAAGTTCTTTTCTTTACTGGCCTAATGATGACTTTTGTTCTAATTGCATGGGGCATAAAGAAAGACAAGATGATTTAGATGGGGGAGTGAATGTGCACCCAACAAATTCCTATCAACCAAATCATATGAACTGAAGGAACTTGCTTGAAACAAAAAACAAAAAAAAAAAGGTAAATTACTTTTGGAGCTAGCTTTCTATATGGGTAAAATTAAACTCAACATTCTCCTTTGCCTGTCTGCCTCAAGCCTGGACTTTAGACTCAAACACCTTTTCAGCATAGACTTTAACTATTAAACTAATAGAAAAATAAATAACTTCAGAATCAATATATCTGGAAAGCCCTTGACTACTTATAAAGTAAGTTGTGTTTTCCCAGTATATTAGATTTAATTAGATAAGTTAAATCTAACCTTCAGAATTTTAATTATATTAAGTAAAGTTTTACTAATTTCATTTAATATATTATCGTCAAGGGGCGAGCTCTGGTCTTTGTGGCAGTCCCTCTTCAAATTCAGTCAGGCTTTTTGTATTAGCATTCTCAAACGTGTTATTTAACTGGGAGGTGAAAAATCTGTCCTGGGGTTTAATGATGAATGTCATTGCTTGCATAAGCCTCATGGCAACCTATTAACTTTATTGCTTCGTGACACTTTATATACATTTTTGATCTGTGCCCAAGCATATGTGCCTGGTCACTCTTGGTTCTAAGGTTTGTAAGGGGCAGTCCTGTTTACTCCCCTTTCTTAGGGAGTTCTTAATCGGTTAGCAATTTTCCTAGGAAAAACATGTTCTGGTTTGACCAACAAATCTATGGTCGCAGAGGCAGGGTTGTGGTTCAGAACATGGGCTCTGCAGCCAGATTACCTGGATTCACGTCTTTCCTCTCTGGTTCTGACAGCGTGTGCCACGGCAAGTTAGTCTACCTTTTAAGTTCCTTGGCTGTAAAATGGGAAGCACCTTCTTGTGAGGATTGTATCAGTTAGTGTGTGTGATGTCATGTGAACGGCACCTAGGAAGCCCTCTGTTGACTAGTCTCAACTGCATGATCTTGGCCAGGGTACTTAGTAATCCCATGGCCTCACATTATTCACATGGAAATTGAAAGAATACCTACCTTACAGGGTTATTGTGAGACTTGAATAAAACTTTCTAATATTTTCAGTCAATTGTAAAGCACTATACAAATTTAAGTTTTTCTTCTTCAATTGATGAATTATCCCTCATTAAACTGCTAATAGCGGTACACAAATTTTATGAAGCAACATTGTAAGCTACGCTTCCACAAAAATTATCTTTTTCAAAAGAAGAAAATGTAGAGAATCTGAAAGCCAAATTAGTAAGACCAAGAAAGTTACAATTTCATAAAATACTCTTATTCTTCATTTCCATTTGTTATAAACATAAAAGGGTTGTTAGAAATTAATTTACATTGAGTACCTTCTGGTAGCTTTTTCTCTTAGTACAATCTGCACGGTATATATATATTTTTAAACACTCAGAGTAAAATTCTGCTCTGCAGAATTTTAAGTCACAGAAGGTCCCTCTAGCATCACGACTTGCTTCTGAAGAACAGTGGCATTGCTAGATTTTCTGGTTGGCATTCTTCTCCCCAAGTCTATTTAAATAGAAAGTTTAAACACCACAGAATTGCGGGTACCAGAACCTGTAATATCCTTAAGGCTGCTTCAGGAGAAAGTTAGCCTATCCCTGGGGGAGCTTCCCTGCTTTGCC